CTGTATGTCTGTATATATATATATATATATATATATATATATATATATATATATATATATATATATATATATATATATAGAGAGAGAGAGAGAGAGAGAGAGAGAGAGAGAGAGAGAGAGAGAGAGAGAGAGAGAGAGAGAGAGAGATGTTTATAAATTGTTCGTTAAAATAATAAAATAAAAAAGGGAAAATTACAGTTTTCACCCCTCAAGCTATCTCTAATTTTACATTTGGTCCCCCATGTTCATAAAAAAACATATTTGGTCCTTCATGTTTCAAAAATTCAACACTTTTAGTCATTTCTGTCAAATTTCCGTTAAAACTACCGTAACTGACGGACTAACGATAAATTGATGGAAATGACCAAAAAATGTCAAATTATTGAAACATGAGGGACCAAATGTGTTTTTTTTAACACGGGTGACTAAATGTGAAATTGGAGAAAACTTGAGGGATGAAAACTGTAAATTTCCAAATGAAAAAATAAATAAAAACAATATACTTTTGTCTAGAGGAAGAACCCCAATCATCCCATCCTTGTGCTCTAACATGTAAATCGATTTCGCTATACGAAAATATGACAAGCGAATAGTCTCCCCATGCTCTGCCTAATAAAATAGGTCCGTTTCCGCGTATTTTACAGTTGACGAAAGAGAAACCTGTATTTTCACTAGCGGAATTCCTACTTTGAGCTGTTATTGCATATGCATTCCCGACGACTGATATCATACATTCCTATCGCCAAAAAAAAAAAGATCGATTTTCATTGTTTTTCGAGTATCGAAAAAAAACCCGAAAGAAAAAATAAAAATGGAGAAGAATATGATCAAGAATGGTTTTTGTTTAAGAGGGTACCTGATAGAGTGATCTTGCATTGCCGAAAATGAAATCGATCGATCCTTGAATGAAGCACTTGTAATAATAGTGCATCCCGATTTCGTCCAATAACGTGTCTTGCGAGCCCAAAAACCTAGTTTTGTAGAACATGGCTTTATTACCTGATATTCTTAATGCTACTGCTTGGTACCCGTCTACTCCGATTTCTTTCGGAACTACCGTGTTCTGCAACAAAAAAAAAAAAAAAAAAAAAAACAACGAAAAACGAAAAAAAATCGAGATTTTTTTTTTAGTTTAGTGATATGGATTAAGTTTGAGATGGATATATATATATATATATATATATATATATATATATATATATATATATATATATATATATATATATATATATATATATATATATATATATATATATATATATATATATATATATATATATATATATATATATATATATATATATATATATATATATATATATATATATATATATATATATATATATATATATATATATATATATATATATATATATATATATATATATATATATATATATATATATATATATATATATATATATATATATATATATATATATATATATATAATATTATTATAGGTGTTTAAATTATGATTTATTATTGCATGCCTGAAAAGTGACCCCCGATGCACAAAAATAGTCCGATTCAACTGCCACGGTGGCTGAGTTCCAAGTTCCGATCAAACCGCCGTTGTTGTTGCTGTCGGAAGCTTTGTCGTGCCATGTTATGACCGTTGTGGGAGCAAGTTTTGGATTTCCGATTAGTGAAAATGTACGGTTTCGATTTAGGGATCATGTGTACTTTTTCACTGCATTTACAAGGTTTCAAGAATTGAATCAGATGTAGTTAGGTACTAAAATTAAAACGAACAAGTTAAAGCATTTAAAAGCAAATCAATATTAATAAATCTAAAGTTCATAAAGATAAAAGGGTTTATTGCATTTAGCACCCCCTATTTTACTAATCAAGATAAAAAGGTTTATTGCATTCACTTTTCAAATTTTTGAGGAGTAAAGTGCAAAAAATAGAAATTTTTAGGGGGTGATGTGCAATTTACCCAAAATATTATAAAATCCATCATTTATTTTAATTTTACGACTAAATGCACTTTGCCCCAAAAGCCAATTACAAGTGGGCATCGTGCACCAAAACTAACGTCTTAAAGGGTCAACGTGCAGAAAAATAAAATTTTAAGGGGCAATTTGTAACAAAATAAACATTTAAAGAGTCAACGTGCAACGAAAACACTCGATTCTAGTAAATAATCCATTGGAATTATGTTGTCGGGTCAATGTGCAACAAGAATAACATTTTGAAGCGCTCATTCACTTTTTTAAATCTGGAGGAGGTAAAATGCAAAAATTAGAAATTTATAGGGAGTGACGTGCAGTTTACCCTTAATTTTATTAGCAATTGACCCCTTAAAAATGCAACAGTGCTTAAAAGGCCGGTTGTGTGCTAAAAGAATGCATCATAGTGATTTTTTTTTTAATATTTATAATAATGAGTTATTTTAGCAATTTAGTATAATATAAGGGTCAAAAATGCAATAAACTCTAAAAAAATCAAGAACTTGAATGTAGACTGTAGTAGTAAACAATTCGTAAATGGGTAGAGTTATAACCATAAAACCACCCACTACAAGTACGTGTAACTTTCACACACTATCCCACTTCATATAACTGCATGCATAAATAAAAAAGGAAACATAAAAAAAAAAAAAAAGACTATTATTTTTCAAACCTGTAAACTCCAGGTAGAATATGAATTTTGACTCTCTGTGCATTATTTTCCGGCACCATATCAACGGCACCTTGCACTGTTACCGAATCTCCACCGCCATTTTTGTCGACAACAATAAACGTTTTCTGGTTGACTCCGTCGACCGTCGAACGGAATCTGTTATCATTCACTATCAAATCGTCCCACGTTATATAGTTCTTGATATTGCCGTTATCTTGAGCAAACCCTAGTTTGTTTTCGAACAATAATATAGAAAAAACCACCAAACAAACCCTAATTAAACCCGAAAATTTCATCGGAAAAAAAAAAAAATTCGTGTTTTTTTTTTCCGGTGACGTAAGTTCGGTTAAGAAAGAAAGAAGTTACTGGATATGATCAGTTGAAGAAATGCTGAGTGTATATATTTATATAGAGATAGTGTGTGGGGCTCTATATAAGTAAGTTTAGCTTAATTTTCTCAACGTAATTAATGATGCATGAAAATTCATGTACATTTATTTTTGTTGATTTAAAAATGGAAGTATTTTAAGGGGAGGATTAATTATTAATTATTTGAACTGACCAGAAAATATTCATCATTTTATAAGCTGTAGATGATGAATTGAAGGGTGAAAAGATTGGATTTGCATTTAATTAATTATTTTGAAAGGATTTTCTTGAATAAATAATTAAATTAAAGATCACAAAGGATAAATCTTAACGGAAGTTTATTAATGGTGGGAAAATTTGACAGTTGGAAAATGAGGTTTAGGGTTTAATTAGCAATTGTTAGATATGTAGATATATTAATTTTCCGAAAGATAATGTAATTAATAGGGTAAATTACAACCGGCCCCCTAGGTAAGGTTAAATTACGAAAACTCCCCTCCTGTTTGAGTAATTACAATTACTCCTTCAACTGTGAAACTTCTTACACGTCCAACCTTATGGTGTCAAATTCGATAGAATCTTATAGGATTCCGTGGAATGTTCTCTATTTTGTACTTGATTTGTGCAAAAAATGCAGTTTCTAATGCACTACAATCTTATATTTACAGTTCAAGAGACAAATCTTATAGTCATCTTGTTTCAAAATGTGGAGCTCGAATGGGGTAAAACGGGTACAAACTGGAGAATATTTCACATAATTTAGAAGATTCTCCACTAAATTTGACACCGCAAGAGTGAACGTGTAAAAAGATTCATAGTTGATGGGGTTGGTTGTAATTATCCAAACATGAGAGATTTTGACCTTATCGCAGGGGTGGACGTAATTTACCCTAATTAATATTGGTTGATCTAATTTCAAAAATGATCGACTTATGTCCCGAAAAATGAATGATACAGTTAATATGCTTGAAGGAACCTGCTTTAATTTGTTGAGATTATGTAATTGTTATTAGGAAAGCTTAGGGAACAACTAATAATTAAAATATTATGCAAATGCATAGCAGCATGATTTATTTTGAATTTTAAGATTCAGTTATCGGGTTTTCTTGAAAATACAGCTTTTTAATAAATAAAGATCATTACATCGACTTAAGAATAAGACGTCCAAGATTATTACAAACATATATATGAACGTGAAAAACCTATCTCGTATATAATAGAATAAAATCTACAAACCCTAATATAAGTACACTCCATATATGGATTCAACAAAACAAAAAGTCGAATATTTCTAAAAGAGACAAAAAATGAAAAACGACCCGATTTATAACAAGATCATTAACATTCATATGAACTAGTCCGTTCCGTTGTTATATTTTGTTTTCCTATCATTAGCTTTTTTATCCTAAGACCGAATTTGAGGTGTTAGAAAGATTCGAAAAATATTAGAATGTTTCTAGCACCTCAAATTCAGTCTTTGATGATAGGAAAACAAAAGGTAGCAACGAAATAAAACTAAACCATATTTATATGAATGTAGATCCGCATTAAGAACCATTAACCAATCTCATATATATATTTCCATAGCTGGAGGCTCAAGAATTCCGTCTTCATTTTTACCATTTTGCCACATACCAACGAGGGAGATCAGTGTCGATTATGAGGTGGATTGACGGGGAAGAAACCTGTTGTTTGCAAAAGCGTGTGAGAAATATGAAGAAAGGCTGATTCATCTTTGTGGAATTCGGCTTGGCATTTTGGACTCGCTTGGTAGCTTCTATGGGGGCGTCCGAATTATTTCCAAGCAAGTTGGAGAATATTATCGTAATTTAATTTCTTCCCTCAAGCCCTGATTTGTTCTGTTGGTGAAAAATTAAGCTACCCTCTTTATTACCACACTAGAACATGAGAATGAACACAATTTCATAAATAATTTCATAGCAGCCATGATTCGAGGGGTGGTGAAACAATTGATTTGAAGCATTGAACGCCTATATAGAATGCCGAAAAACATCTATAAACACACGAAACGCCTTTTTGATGCTCTCTTAAAAAGTAACTGAATGAAATTTCGAGAAAATCATCAGAGCATTTCTTGAATTCATGGTTGCATTCGTACTAAACGAGTCTCAATTAGGGTTCGGCTTAGATCAAAATGAGCAACAAGTTGTCACGGTCTACAAAAAAAAGAAAAAAAAATCCATGTCAGTTAAGAATTTTATGTATTCCCAAGAAAGTCAAATCCTTGAGAAGTCAAGTTCATAAACCGAATGGAAATAAAATTATAATATAAATTAAACCGGTAAATAATAGCAAGGAAAAACGATGTGATGTGCCACAACTAACCTCAAATCTTCCACGTCAAAGTTTAACGTTTAAGTTATATTTAAGACATGAGAAGCTGCCTAAATGTGGCCCTGAAGGAAGATAATTGCACAAATGACGATTTGCCAATTATTATCAACCTTTTCCACCCCTCCAAAACTATGAATGACTCCACTAATGAAAGAGTCCTGGAATTCACCGGTTGGTCAACAACAACAACAAAAAACACGAGAGTGATCATCGGTTCATAAACTTTGTACATAATGAACTACTTTTTTTTTTTTTTTTTTTTTTTTTTTGTTAAAAAATATAATGGAACAATTGATGCAATAAAAAAAATTTAACTTTGTGAGAAATTTGGTAAAAGAAAATTTTATTTTACCGTTTCCGCTGACAAGAACATTGTTCGATATATATGCTTCTCCTCCATCTATTTGCCAAAAACCAAAAAAGAAAAGCAAAGAGAGGTCGTAAACTTCGTCCATAAATAAATCATATATATAAATTATATGGAATAAGTAAATTCAATCTAATGAACTTCTGCATGCAAGCAAACTAATCGAGAAATGATGACGGAAAACATATTAATACGAGATCCAAATATAAATATTGTTATACAGATCTAATACATCTTAATTAAATCCATATATGATATATATCATTAATCGGTCTAAGAATTTCAAATCTCTATCAACGGGCCAAAATCGGGTGAAAAATATTAAAAAATAGATCAGTTTAATAGATGTTAATTCATCACCACAAATCAAACATGACGAACAAAAAAAACATTTTATCAAGAGATATATCAACTATCAAGAACAGAAATAAATTCAATCAAGAAAAAGAAGACGGGAAAGAGAAACCATATATATATATATATATATATATATATATATATATATATATATATATATATATATATATATATATGTATACGATCGGAAGTGAAGAGCAGACCTTGGCGGCGGAGGTTCAGGGGGCGGCCTTAGGCGGTGGTGGAGATCTTCAGGTGAAAGTCTGTAAACATACTCTGAAACATACATTATTTTTGTGTCGGAAATTCAGACACAGAAAACGGCGCAGAGAAAAACCTAGGAATTTCAGATATATACAGAAGAGATTTTATCGGTCCTTTTATAGATGTCACCTGAAGACACAGAAAAAACGGCGCAGAGAAAAACCTAGGAATTTCAGACACAGAAAACGGCGCAGGGAAAACCTAGGAATTTCAGATACAAAAGAGATTTTATCGGTCCTTTTTATAGATGTTGAGTAACGTCAAAACCTAGGAAAAAGAAAGTGCAGCTAGGTATTTAGGGCACCTGAAGACAAGCCCACTGGGCTTTAGATTTTCTGTGTCAGTGTTTTCTATAAATGTTTATTAAAATAAATTTAGTATTTTCCATTTGTATGAGAATTTTTATGAATTATCCTTATTATGCAAATATAATTTATAATTTATAATTGATTTTTCTTTTTTTAAATCCAAATGTAAAATTAATTTAAAGTTTAGAATTTATAGAGGGAGAGGTAACAGAAAGAAGGAAATGATAGTTCGAGAGAAGACGATTATACGAGACCTATCAACTAAATTTACAGAGCGGTCACCGTGAGATACATAAATGATTTGCTTCGTTAAAATTTTAGTGACGTTTATACATGGGGCTACAAGAAAATCTGCATGGCAAACTCGGAGCGAGAATCTACGTCTATACGTAAGGTTTTCTTGTCGTTTAGCACATTCTTTATTGCTACTATATCTTAATTATCTTAGTTTGATAAGCAAAGACGCGACAACTTCGATCGAGTCCACGTCGGCTTAGAAAGAAACTAATATTAATTGATTGGAGATGATCGAATTTAGCGCTAATATTCCAAATCGTATATAAATATAGTTTGGACATGTAAATTATAGAGAAATTTTCAAATTCCACTGGTTACGATCTTAGCATTTCCAATCTTGTAATGACTTCTTAGGCCGGTTAAAAGAAAATGGCACTTTTCCCCCAAACTATCGTGTATTTTGCACGTTACCATGTGAACAATTTTTGTAGGGCAAAATGAACGTCACCCCCTATAAATATCTAATTTTCGCACTTTAATTATCCCCTCAAAATTTGGAAATGTCAATGTCCCCCCGATATCAAAATATCGATGAATTATTCACTGAAATTGCGTGTTTGTTTGTTGCACGTCGCCCCTTTAAATGTTGTACCTTGTCCCTTAAAAACATTATTTTCCAGCGGATCTCCGCTGTGTTATTTGCCCCACGACCGCTGCATCACCCCTAAGTAATACGTTGCTCCTCTTCCATCATCGAGTTCGTTTCACTAAAATCGATTCGCTCAAACTTCTCTTCACCACCGGTACCGGCACTTCAATCTACAACAACATCTTCATCTCGGTGTCATAAGATCAATAACCGAAATTTGTTGAAAATGGACGAAATAATCTGAAATCAAGAGCAAGCGATTGCAAAGTTCCTCGGATTCAAAATAGGAAATCGACGGGTAGTGGTGGCGCCGCCATTATCTCGAGGTCACGAGGAGACAATTCTCTCAAAAGATACATGCTAATTCTTTAAACTTCAGCTAGTTTGCCATAAAAAAATCGTTAGTAGATTTTAGAGAGCAGAAAAGTATTTGTTACAGAGAAAGGTGATTTTATCTATACAAAAAAAAAAAAAAAAAACAAAAAAACAGAGGAAGATGATTGTTGATTGTGGAAGATTGAATGTGGAGATTGTTGGCTATTCATGATTTACTAATATTTTTTTAATGTTTTTTTAACAAAAGATATACATTATGGAAAATTGTACTTCGCCACCTAGAAATTTTAGAAATTCGCACTTTTCCCCCCCTAGAAACTAAAAAAAAGAGACATCCCCTTTTAAAATATATCTTTGTTGCAGTACTTTGCTCCAAAGTCAAACTCCCGGAGTATTTTTTACCGGAATTGACAAACTTCATCCGATCAAAGGGTAGTACCCTCACAATGTATATGCATAAATGGAATAAGGAATTCGTAGAGAAATTGAGAAGAAGGTTTAGAAGTCGAGGCTAGAGGGGCTAATTGAATTTCTGAAATGGGTGTTGCTAGTAAAAAAGTGAGCGAAATGTAAAAGTACAAGGTTAGGGGCCAGTAGAAATATCGGGAAAATTACAGTTTATGTCCCTAAACTTTACCACTAAAACGATTTATGTCCTCAAACATTTCAATCCACGAAATATGTCCTCAAACTTGCCACTTTTGATCACTTTATGTTCTGCCGTTAACGTCGGCAGCCAACTTCGACGGAAATAGCACGCGTGGCTCACGTGACGTCTATGTGGCCGTTAAATGTGACGTCGGATAATATAATGAATATTAAATGTTGACGTGGCACAAGAATACACTATTTTCCTCTAACTCATTCTCCCAAATCCCAAATCACGTTTCATTCCCATAAACCATAATTTTCCCACACTTCCCAATTTCAATCACCTCAACCCACTCCCAAATTTTCAATCTAATATGCATTTTTGCTCTAACCCATACTAAAATCGAATTCATAAACCCATAAAAAAATCCAAACATTCTCACATTTGAAGAGTTTTTCCCTTCTTAGAAGCTACGCTGAGGAAACTTACCAAATCGAAAAATATTTTGCAATTATGACGCTTTAACTACTCGGGCATTCAAAAACTTGAGAAGACGATTCTGCTATTTTCGAATTTCACCTCAATTGAAGGATTCGAAATGGTGTTTTAGGGATTGGATTTACTGGTTCATTGGGGATATGGAGAATTGGGGATTTTAGAATATAAATAGGGGAGGAGAATGACGTGTCGCTCCACATCACGTTTCGTCGGCCACGTAGGCACTGGGTGTTGTACAACTCGACATACATAGACGTCCCGTGAGCCACGTGTGCTATTTCCGTCGAAGTTAGTTGCCGAAATTAACGGCAGAACATAAAGTGATCAAAAGTGGCAAGTTTGAGGACATATTTCGTGGATTGAAATGTTTGAGGACATAAATCGTTTTAGTGGTAAAGTTTAGGGACATAAACTGTAATTTTCCTAGAAATATCCTTATTATGCAAATATAAAAAATAATTGAAAGTTTTAGATAATTGCATTTAGTACCCGTGTAAAAAATCGCAACTGTGCATTTCCACTGTCATAAAAAAATTAGCAAATAGTCCCTTAATTTATTTTTAGACAGCACACTCGACCCATTTACCTTTTTCCCGTTGACCGAGAAAAGACAAAAGTACCCCAGGGAGGTTTCTGCAAAAATAAAAGCCACAACCATTTAACAGGTATGTATTAAAATTAAGGGGCCAAATAGAGTTTCTGAAATTTTGCAGAAACTAAAAGAGGTTAAATTGCAATTTTCCAGAATTTAATTAAAGAAAAGAAAAAAATCATCATCCTCCCGACACCGCTCCACCGCCTAAACCATCTCCGGCGCCATTTTTTAACAGCCCACCGCCCAACTCATATCTTCTTTGTTCAACGGCCCACCCCCCTAGATTAATCCCGATGATTCCTTTTGCGGAAATTGCATAAATTGCAGAAACCTTAGTTTCTTAAATCGGTGAGTTTTGTTCAATTTGACATACTTATACATAATTCAAAAGGTTTAGGACCAAATTGCAATTTTTTGAAATCATGCTCTGTATCTAGTTTCTCCAACCACCAATCCCCAGATGTAATACAATTTGACTTGTTTATACAGAATTCAAAAGGTTTAGGACCAAATTGTAATTTTAATAAATAATGCTTTTGCATCTAGTTTCTCCAACCACCAATACCCAAAAATAAATTCGACTTGCTTATACATAATTCAAAAGATTTAGGACCAAATTGTAATTTTAAGAAATTATGCTCTTTGTCTATAGTTTATTCAGCCAGGTTTAAGCTGTAGATGAATTAAAGGGTGAAAAGATTGGATGTGCATTTAATAATTATTTGAAAGGATTAGCTTATCCATAATTAGTTTCTTGAAAAATTAACTGAATTAATTAGAGACCACAAGGCTTTAAGTAAATAAAGATCATTACATCGCTTAGGAAAATAAATTCTTAAGAATAAGACGTCCAAGATTATTACAAACATATATAGTACAACAAAATCTACATATATAGTAAGTACACTCCATATTTGGATTCAACAAAACGAAAAGTCGAATATTTCTAAAAGGGACAAGAAAGGAAAAAATGACCCGATTTATAACAAGAGCATTATCATTCATACGAGCTAGTCCGTCGTGTTGCTATATTTTGTTTTCCTATCATTAGCTTTTTTATCCTAAGACCCAATTTGAGGTGTTAGAAAGATTCGATAATATTAGAATGTTTCTAGCACCTCAAATTCAGTCTTTGATGATAGGAAAACAAAAGTAGCAACGAAGCAAAACTAAATCCGCATTAAGAACCATTAACCAATCTCATATATATATTTTCATAGCTGGAGGCTCAAGAATTCCGTCGTCATTTTTTACCATTTTGCCACATACAAACGAGGGAGATCAGTGTTGATTATGAGGTGGATTGACGGGGAAGAAACCTGTTGTTTGCAAAAGCGTGTGAGAAATATGAAGAAAGGCTGATTCATCTTTGGTGAAACAATTGATTTAGATATACAGATTCATCATGCACGCTGTAGAGTAGTTGTTAGGTAGACTAACTAACAACTAGTGGTGGGCAGTGAAGACAACTGATGCAATTAAAAAAGTTAACTTTGTGAGAAATTTGGTAAAATAAAATTGATTTTACCGTTTCCGCTGACAAGAATATTGTTCGATATGCTTCTCCTCCATCTATTTGCCAAAAACCAAAAAAGAAAAGAAAAGAGAGGTCGTAAACTTTGTCCATAAATCAATTAATCGAACATCTTAATTAAATTCATATATATAAACTATATAGAATAAATAAATTCAATCCAATGAACTTTTGCATGCAACAAACAAATCAAGAAATGAAGATGGAAAACATCTTAATACCAAGATCCAATAATAAATATTGTTATTAAGATCTAATACATCTTAATTAAATCCATGTATGATATATATCATTAATCGGTTTAAGAATTTCAAATCTGTATCAACGGGCCAAAATCAGGTGAAAAATATTTAAAGAAAAAAGGAAAAAAAAATGAAAAATAGATCAGTTATTAAGATCTTAATTCATCATCACCAATCAAACATGAAGAACGAAAAAAACATTTTAAATCCATATATATCAACTATCAAGAACATAAATAAATTAAATCAAGAAAAAGAAGATCACATATATATATGATCGGAAGTGAAGAGCAAACCTCGGCGGTGGAGGTTCAGGGGGCGGCATTAGGCGGTGGTGGAGATCTTCAGGCGAAAATCTGTAAACCGACTCTGACACGTACATTATTTTTCTGTCGGAAATTCAGACACAGAAAACGGCGCAGAGAAAAACCCTAGGAATTTCAGATACAGAAGAGATTTAATCGGTCCTTTTTATAAAGGTAATTGAGTGATGTCAAAACCTAGGAAAAACAAAGTGCAGCTATTTTTAGGGCACCTGAACACAAGCCCACTGGGCTTTAGATTTTCTGTGTCAGTGTTTTCTATAAATGTTTATTAAAATAAATATAGTATTTTCCATTTGTATGAGAATTTTTATGAATTATCCTTATTATGTGAATATATTATATTATTGATTTTAAAAAAAAATCCAAATGTAAAATTAATTTAAAGTTTTGAATTTATAGAGGGAGAGGTAACATAAAGAAGGAAATGCTACTTCGAGAGAAGACGATTATATATACGAGATCTATCAACTAAATTTGCAATATAGATAAAATGGTTTGCTTCATTCAAATTTTACTGATGGATATACATGGGCTACAAGAAAATCTGCATGGCAAACTTGGAGCGAGAATCTACATATGTACGGAAGGTTTTCTTATCCTTTAATACATTCTTTATTGTTACTATATCTTAATTATCTTAGTTTCATAAGCAATGACGCGACAACTTCGATCGAGTCCACGTCAGCTTAGCAGGAAAGTAATATTAATTGAGAGATAAGCGAACTTAGCGCTAATATTCCAAATCGTATAAAAATATAGTTTGGGCATGTAGATTATAAAGAAATTTTCAAATTCCACTGCTTACGATTGTTAAGTGTATATTTTTACACTTAATAATACCTTCTAATTGGAACTTTTGGTGTGTTTTAACGATAATTGGTGCTTAAAATGGTGATTATTTGTATTTTAGGTACAAATTGAAGAATTAAAAAATTATGGGGTAAAAACTGCAATTTCAGAGAAAAAGTGGGCCAAAAGTAAGAAATTAAAAAAATCGAAGATTTGAAGCCCGGACGGCCGTCCGAGTTCTAGAGCTAAATCTGGCGCGACCGCCCGAGATCACGAGGAGGCGGAGTGAATGAAGTTTAATTACACAAGGAAACCGCCTTCCTATATTTTTACACCCTATATAAGGCCAAGCCAAGCACACAATTGGTGATCTTATCTTTTTACACGCATTCTAGGAGCAAGAAAGCGGAGCAACGAAGACAAAGACTTGACGAATCTTCATCATAGTTCTCCCTTTACTTTTATTTTTCTACTTTTATGAATTTTCGTATTTTTATTATGCTTTTCGTAGAGAACATGAGTAGCTAAGTTTTTAATTTAGGATTTTATTTGAACCCTATGTGGTGATTCGAACCTATTTTTCTAATATTATGCAAGTTTAAATTCCGTGATTATATCTTTATTTTGATCTTATTTAGCGCATGAACCTAGCTAATTTATGTTGCTATGTGTTATTGTTAGAATTGATTGACAGATCGTTTTAAAAATTAGAACAATGATAGAAGAGCCTTCGAGTAGTTTTCACCGGATGAGTGTGTTAATTGCATGTATTATCGCAGACATATAGATAATACCTTAGGTAGCCGTTTACGAGACTTGTTAGTTAATCCTTTATTCATAATTGGTTTGCATAGACATATAGTGAATCGGTTATAAATAATAGACTCATAATACACGCGACAACGGGTTATGAGTAATTTCGTGCCTCGGGTTAATAATCATGAATCGTAACTTGCATGATAGAGGTTTAATTGGGTGATGAATTATCGCATAGGGGGAAGATAAAATCCTAGATCCCTTTTTATATTGATATTTCTCGTGCTTATTTGCTTTCTTAATTAATTTAATTGTTTAATTGATTAAATTTGACAACCTTGTGTAGGCTGGATAAAAATCATAATTGTTAAGATTTGGTACTTAGGATTAGATAATTTGAGTATTCCCTGTGGGATCGACATCCGACTATCACGAGTCCACTTTTACTACTTGTTTGCGATACGTGCACTTGCGTGTTAGGTATTTAGCCCAACAACGATCTTAAAATTTCCAATCTTGTAATGACTTCTTAGGCCGGTTAAAATAAAGGGCAAATTACCAAAACCCCCCTGAGGTAAGCCTAAATAACGAAAATCCCCCCCATGTTCTCGTAATTACGAAAACCCCCCTTGACTAACGGTTGACCGAATTTTTTTAACCGAAAACGTGAAATGTCTATTATATCCTTCTGTTAAATATGTAAAAAATAAAGGGCAAATTACCAAAACCTCCCTGAGGTAAGCCTAAATAACGAAAATCCCCCCTGACATCCCTTTCATTTGATGATTTATTGCTTTTATAAATTTATTTATTACTTTGTAATTTGTATTGATAATTTGATATTATAATTTTTTTATTTTTTATTTGAAAAAGGGCATCTTCCCCAACCAAACTTATCCCGTCACCACCGGCCCAACCAAATTACTCTTCATCCATTTCAGCCCTCAAACCGCCGCCTGCCACCTCTGCTTTACCTCCCTCCGCCGCCTCTGTTTCGCCGCCCTCCGCTTGCCCAACTCTGCTTCGTCGCCCTCCGCCGCCTGCCGCCTCTGCTTCATCGTCCATCGAAAATTAAGGACTATAACCCGAAAGCACATCACACCGAAACACCAAATTAATCAATCTTTCTCTCTCCCGAAAAAAAAACAACAAATTGAGGACTGTATTGTTGATTAAGCTTTGATTCCAAAAACTCAAATTCCTCGGGCGGATTCAAACTCTGATTCAAAGAAAAAAATTTGGTTTGGGGCTGAAATTGATGGACCGCCGCCGAAGGTTTCAACGGCGGAAGGTATATCCCTTGCTACAGTGTCATATTTCCACCAAATGGGTTGCTTCCACCACTGCAATTCGCCGCCGCCGTCACCCGTTGATTGATTGCGGCAAAGAAATAACCACCAGCCGGCAGTCAAATTTTGAGACCGGAGCACCGGCGAAAAAAACCCAATTTCTTTGCCTTGTGATGGTGAAGGGGCGGATTAAATAGCAGATTTTTCGAAATCGAACTAGCAGATATGGGGGGATGGATTGAAATTGGTTCGGTGGTGGTGGGGGTGGTGCGGCGGATCAGAGGTTGTGGTGGTTGGTGTTTGATTTGTGAGAGGTTATGATTGCCTGGTTTGTGTTTGGTGGTGTGTCTGATACGTGGTGGTGGACGAAGAAGACGAAGAAGATGAATATGTGCAGTTAACCCTTAAATAAAATGCTTACAATTACCCCCTAAGGTTAATTTCGTGTACAAGGGCAAAATTGGTATTATCGGAGGAATATTCGGGAGAATCAAAAAGATTCTATCGAGTCTAACACCGTTAGAGCGATTTGTAAGACGTCTGCATACCTCAGGGGGGTTTTCGTAATTACGAGAACATGGGGGGGATTTTCGCTATTTAGGCTTACCTCAGAGGGGTTTTGGTAATTTGCCCTAAAATAAAATGGCACTTCCCCCCAAACTATCGTGTGTTTTGCACGTTACCCTTTGAACAATTTTTGTAGGGCAAAATGCACGTCACTCCTTATAAATATCTAATTTTCGCACTTTATCCCCTCAAAATTTGGAAATGTGAATGTCCCCCGATATCAAAATATCGATGAATTATTCACTGGAATTGAGTGTTTTTCTGTTGCACGTTACCCCTTTAAATGTTGTACCTTGTCCCTTAAAATCATTATTTTCCAGCGGATCTCCGCTGTGTATTTGCCCCACGACCGCTGCATCACCCCTCAGTAATACGTTGCTCCTTTTCCATCATCGAGTTCGTTTCACTAAAATCAATTTGCTCAAACTTCTCTTCACCACCGGTACCGGCACTTCAATCGACAACAACGTCTTCATCTCGGTGTCATAAGATCAATAACCGAAATTTGTTGAAAATGGACGAAATAATCTGAAATCAAGAGCAAGCGATTGCAAAGTTCCTCGGATTCAAAATAGGAAATCGACGGGTAGTGGTGGCGCCGCCATTATCTCGAGGTCACGAGGAGACAATTCTCTCAAAAGATACATGCTAATTCTTTAAACTTCAGCTAGTTTGCCATAAAAAAATCGTTAGAGAGCAGAAAAGTATTTGTTACAGAGAAAGGTGATTTTATCTATACAAAAAAAAAAAAAAAAAAAAAAAAACAGAGGAAGATGATTGTTGATTGTGGAAGATTGAATGTGGAGATTGTTGGCTATTCATGATTTACTAATATTTTTTTAATGTTTTTTTAACAAAAGATATACATTATGGAAAATTGTACTTCGCCACCTAGAAATTTTAGAAATTCGCACTCCCCCTCCCCCCCCCCCCAGAAACTAAAAAAAAGAGACATCCCCTTTTAAAATATATCTTTGTTGCAGTACTTTGCCCCAAAGTCAAACTTTCGGAGTATTTTTTACCGGAATTGACAAACTTCCGATCAAAGGGTAGTACCCTCACAATGTATACGCATAAATGGAATAAGGAATTCGTAGAGAAATTGAGAAGAAGGTTTAGAAGTCGAGGCTAGAGGGGCTAGTTGAATTTTTGAAATGGGTGTTGCTTGTAAAAAAAGTGAGCGAAATGTAAAAGTACAAGGTTAGGGGCCAATAGAAATATCCTTATTATGCAAATATAAAAAATAATTGAAAGTTTTAGATAATTGCATTTAGTACCCGTGTAAAAAATCGCAACTGTGCATTTCCACTGTCATAAAAAAATTAGCAAATAGTCCCTTAATTTATTTTTAGACAGCACACTCGACCCATTTACCTTTTTCCCGTTGACCGAGAAAAGACAAAAGTACCCCAGGGAGGTTTCTGCAAAAATAAAAGCCACAACCGTTTAACATGTATGATTTAAAATTAAGGGGCCAAATAGAGTTTCTGAAAATTTGCAGAAACTAAAAGAGGTTAAATTGCAATTTTCCAGAATTTAATTAAAGAAAAGAAAAAAATCATCATCCTCCCGACACCGCTCCACCGCCTAAACCATCTCCGGCGCCATTTTTTAACAGCCCACCGCCCAACTCATATCTTCTTTGTTCAACGGCCCACCCCCCTAGATTAA